CCCATAATGTTTGATTTAAAAAAATAAAAAATAAAATTATAGCTCCTTACGCAAGTTCTCCGGCGAAAGATAATTACTCCGCTCAAAATCTGTTTCATGTATTACTCATTAGCTGATCCAAAGCTCAAGGCTATCTCTCTCTCTCTTTCTCTCTCTCCCATGCTCCTCCTTTTCCTGTTTACACCGTTTTCTTGTCTTCTTTGCTCTTTTCTTTCCTCTCATGCTATTAGTCTTCTTTCATTTCCATCACTTCTTCTCTGCTCCCCCTCTCGAGTTCTATTTCTCTCGTGAAATTGAAACGTAAAGTAATACAATCATGTAGTACATTCTTGTTTAGAATAATATTTTCAATAATATCCAGTCCATTTTCTAAAGGTTTCTTTCCTTTAGTTAAGTGTATGTAGCTTTAATATATATATATATATGTTAGTGTGCAAAACACTCCGTTTCATTCGAGTACTTTGTTTTCACTACATAATTTAAGGGACTCACGAAGCCACCGGAAGAAGAGCAATTGGCTTATCATGAAGAACTAACATCAAACTGCAACAAAATGATTTGTATAAATGTGAATAAGCAGAAAGGCTGCCATCTCATTTTCCCGTTTGAATGGGTTCTCTTCCTTACGTATATAAGTGCCCTTATTTTCTAAACTTTTTTTTTAATATTTGTGTGTTTATTAGATTTTCAATCATATAAAAATTACATATTTACAAGTCATTGGTAATAATTAGACCAAAAAAAAAAAATATGTATAAGAACAACTAACAATAATGAAAGGACAAGAAAGTTATAAAAAAAAAACATTATAGTAAAAAAAATACACTGTACACATATAAATCATAGTTTGAACTCCAGTGCATAAAGGGGAGTGAGGGGGCACAGGAATAAAAGTTAAATCAACATGAGTATCATAAGTCAAATCGCCATTTCTTAAAATGCGAAACAAACTTGTTCCTTTTTTTCGCTGAGAAATATTCAATATCTTTTTGTTTCTTTATAAAACTCTTAAAAAGATAAACACTTGGTAAATCCCCCTTACTTATTTTCTAAACTTCCATGATGACCTATTACATTGTATAATGCTTTACCTAGTAAGATGCATTGATCGAGGTAATTTCAGGTATTACATATTGATGAGCTACTTGAAATTAACTAGGAGGTATGCGCGTATTGGGGAATGTGGCTTGCTGCTCTACTTTTTTTTTTTAAACTTCCCACGACATGTAATGAGTGTTTAGTATACATAATATGGGACGTACAGTGATAGATGGAAAGTTATTTCAGTATATTCGAAATGACTTTTAGGTAACTCCTTTTTCCTCCCACTTCATCAACATTCATTCATTTCATTTCATCTACATTATTTCAAGAAATGCATTCAGAAAATGAAGAAGAAAAAAAGAAACGAAAAAAATAGGTGTAAAGAAAATATTGTCGGCGAAGCATTTGTCGTAGTACTAGTAGCATTTGTAGTTTATGGGACACTTTTTGGGCGGAGCAAATGTCGTCGGAGCAAATGTCGGCGGAGCAATTGTCGCTTCAGACGGAGCAATTGTCGGCGGAGCAATTGTCGGCGGAGCAATTGTCGGCGGAGCAAGTGTCGCTTCAGGCGGAGCAAATGTCGGCGGAGCAATTGTCGCTTCAGGCGGAGCAATTGTCGGCGGAGCAATTGTCGGCGGAGCAAATGTCGGCGGAGCAAGTGTCGCTTCAGGCGGAGCAAATGTCGGCGGAGCAAATGTCGGCGGAGCAATTGTCGCGTTTTGCGGAGCAATTGACGGCGGAGCAATTGTCGGCGGAGCAATTGTCGGCGGAGCAATTGTCGGCGGAGCATCTGTCGGCGGAGCAATTGTCGGCGGAGCAACTGTCGGCGGAGCAACTGTCGGCGGAGCAACTGTCGGCGGAGCATTTGACGTCGGAGCAAATGTCGCGGAGCAAATGTCGCGGAGCAATTGTCGCGTTTTGCGGAGTAAATGTCGGCGGAGCAATCGTCGGCGGAGCATGTGTCGGGTTACCATTCTTTCACATGATTGGTAATAAGAGCTTCCATTTCATTTTTTTGAAATTGGGGCGTTTCCAATACTGGTTTTTACCTTTAACTCTAAGCTGGACTTAAATATTATGGAGAGTTATTTGTAGCCTTATTTTGAAATATATTCAAAAGCAAAAATTCAAGTATTTTAGACTTTTCATAAATTCCACATCAAGAACATGAAATCTCCCATTATAATAGAAAATATGAATGATTTGAATCGACATGTTATGCCTTTTCAAATAATTTTTACAAAATATTTTCAAGGATGCTAATGGCTTTCCATAATTGTCAAGTCCAACTTAGAGATAAGTTCAACTTAGGATCTTTGTGAAATACCCCAGCTTTCTACACACTATCAAGTTGCTATGTCTGTACTTCGGAGATCAAAAAAAAAAATGTAAACATGCCACAAAACACTGACAAATAACTACAATTAGGACTCCTCAATCCTCTCTCTCTCTCTCTCTCTCTCTCTCTCTCACATGGTGCACCCGCAAGCCTACTGTATAACTACAATTTTGTTATGATAATAATGGATCAAATGTACAACATACATGTAGGGTAAGCATTGGTTGTTATTCCAAATAACTAGCTCAGAAAAAGCATGATTCAAAATGTTTTTTTTTCTTTAGAACGTGAAATATTATAGCTTATATCTAAAAGTATCAACAAAACCTCAACCAATCCACCTTTCGTTCTCGAGTCACAAAAAAATGTCAAAAACATCAAATTTCCAAGGGGTATGAATAATTAAGTCATTAACTGTATATCCATGTGTAGACTGATTTTATAGCTTCAGTTATCACTATCATTATCACCATGGGGAAATATGTCACAGCCCTTTAATTCTGCAGTAAATACAGTCAAGTACTAGTAGCAGGTTGTGCAGTTAATCCTGTATGTGCTGCCATTCTTACAAAATGTCTGAATTTGAAGACTAAACATGAATGCAAGTTCCACACAGTGTAGAGGGTGTATTGTGAAACTTCAGGGTGCAAAACATCATCACAAAAGCATGAAAAGCACCAACAAAATAAATGATAAAATGGACTCGGACAATACCAGGACAAATAATGGGAGTGTGGTCTGCAAGTACTAATCTCAAAAGGCCTTTGACATCTATTTTCCTTTTCTTACCCAAAAAATAGAATATTGTAGTCGTCTTATGGTAAAATTTAGCATGATTCTTGTGTGACAAATATGAGTTGTAGAAGTTGGATGATATATTTATCACACATTTAAATCTGGGTAATTTAAGGCAAAATACATGTATTTCTGCTTTATAATAATAATATTAGGTCTGATAGTGGATCACACATCAATAGGGAATAGGAAATCCAATAGTTTCTCTTCTTCTATATGTAAATATCATTTAATGAAATGTATTACTGTATTGCATTTGGTAAATAAATAAAATAGATTCAAATGAAACTTGTCAAGATTCTAGATGTATCAAAGGTAACACTCTAAAAAAAATTAAGTCACCATTTAAAACGGTCGAGGAGTCACCACTTTTTTAAAATGTCAGGTCATCACTTTTAAAATGCTGCATTCAACCTTTATGGTGTATGATCCAGTGTGTTTAATGTTAGCATAACATTATGGAAAAATGGTCACTAGCTCCTCAACCCTTTTCAACTGTGATTTAATATTTCACTTTTAAACTGAAGTGCACATGAGTACTTTATCTTGAACTTGAACTTTATTGAAACACCTTTTGGCCCCATGGAGGAATATAAATGCTTAAAAGAGCAACAACCAAAACAAAACATGAATATAAAATCTACATTTACAACATATTCACAAGGTTAATCTACCATTTTGAAAAAGTGTTCATCTCTCTCTATCTCTCTTCCCCTCTCTCCCTCTCCCTACCCCTCTCCCCCTTTCACCCCCTTTCTCTTTTTAGAAGCATCATGTACTTTTGTGTAGATGCCTGGTTAAGTGGTCAAGTTGAAGAACCAAAAAATAGCTACATGTGTCTCTATTTCAGTCTCTCTCTCTCTCTCTCTCTCTCCCTCTCTCTATCTCTCTCCCTCTCTCTCTCCCCCTCCCTACCCCTCTCCCCTTTCACCCCCATTCTCGTTTTAGAAGCATAATGTATTTTTGTGTAGATGCCTGGTTAAGTGGTCAAGTTGAAGAACCAAAAAAATAGCTACATGTGTATCTATTTTAGTCTCTCTCTCTCTCTCTCTCTCTCTCTTCCTCTCTCTCTCTCTCTCTCTCTCTCTTTCTCTCTCTCTCTCTCTCTTCATAACAGAGCGTGGGTGGACATTCATAGAGGGCCCGCTTTAGCCAGAAGTAATGAAGGCATTGCGTATTATTTCTCAATCATCGTAGTTGTGGCATACGTTGAATATCTGTGGGTACAGGGGAATTATACTGTGTGTGCACCGCATGTGGTTTATATGTAGGCTATGGGGGTTGTTTATTGGTGAGTTGGGGAGTGTTGGCGAACAGAGGGAGAGATACTATTATACAGAGGGAAGGAAAAGATATGTGGAGAGAGAGAGAGAGAGAGAGAGAGAGGGAGACAGACATAAATATATTTGGCAGTGCCATGAAAAAGAGAAAATCAATATAATTTCTTCTCTTTTTAAGAAATTCTTTCATAACAGAATACTCCTAATTTAAAGGTAAAGACCAGTTATGGTCATGCGATTGCATTGTGAAAGAAACGTTGTGGAATCGATCAGAAAAGGTTGATCATCTAGCATCTAGCATCTGCAAGGTTCTGGAATCATCAAAATGATAAGAAATTTGGCCCATTCTTCGTAAAGTTACAAGCACTATACACAGAAAGATGTATATGGGACTACCCTATATCTCTCACAGACCATGAGAGAAACAAATTTACCAAATATATGAATTAGTAGGTGGTTTCCCGGCAATTTTTTTATCATCATGTATTAGTCAAAACATATTCTTTCACATGATTGGTTATGAGAGCTTCCATTTCATTTTTTGAAATTGGGGCGTTTCCAATACTGGGGGGTGTTTCATAAAGCTTTTGACTTACGACTATAACAAATCTGGTATCTATGACAAATCTGATTACGACTATCGTAGCTTGTTATTGAAGTAAAAATCCGTTTCATAAAACTAATAACAAAGTGATCGTTTAAAAAACGATCATTACGATTATGCGCGTGCGCAATAGCTCCATTGTGCTTTGCCGTCGTCTGCAATCACCGTGACAATGAACCCAACTTTGGTGCTTGAAATGTTTTTTTTCATAGAAATCCCGTAAGTACATGCCATATTTATTCCCAAATACGAAGAATTATATTCATAACTCGACATCTGTGTGCTTATTTATATTGAAATACTTTTCCAGCGGTTAAACAAAGGTTGATTATGAGAGCTCGTATGCGAGTGTTTATCAAATTGCGTGCGGCCGAACCGAGAGCCAAAGCTGCGTGTAACGCCCGGGATGGTGGCGGGCACTTATGCATCAGTCCTCCGATGCTGTTGTCCGGAGTGACTGAGCTGTTGGAGTCGACTGAGCTGCATGAGCTGAGCTGAGCTTAGCTTAGTTTCGGATTTAATAAATTTAGAACCGAAAATTACAATTCTATTTTATCCTAATTATCAAAACAGCAACTGCTGCAGTGAACTGTAAGAACCCAAACAGTGTCTAGATCTAGATTTCAATATAAGTGAGTATAGTCTAGATCTAGATTTCAATAGACTAGTGAGTATAGTCTAGATCTAGACTAGATCTAGTCTAACTAGCTAGACTAGATTCTAGTGATCGAGAAATAGGAATGTGACTAGAGTCAGAGTAGAGTAGACTTTAGAGACGAGTCTAGTCTACTGTCTCTGACCGCCTCTATGGGAATATGTCAACAAATGTCAGTTTTATTAAAGAAATGACCCATATCAGACGGTTATTTAACTCTATTTTGGGGGGCACTTAACAAGATTGCTTGCACATTAAAAAAAAAATTGGTCCAGGGTTTGATGAAATATTTCGCAATGACTCAGCCAGTCGCTGGATAACCGGGGGGGGGGGGGGGGCACCTTTTAATTTTTTTTTCCCGAAAATTTGGCCGATCGCTATTTCGATCTGTGGGGGGAGGGGGGTATTTTTGGGTCACCCGTTAGCATATATATTTTTTTTTAATTAAAATTTAGAATGGGGGGGGGGGGAGGGGGGGAGGGGGTTTCCTCTAAAACACGCACAAAAAAATAATTTGAGGGGGGGTTCGACTCCCCCCCCCCCCCTCTTTGTACGTGTCTGAGCACATCTGTTAATAAATATACCTTGGCCGGCTATATTTAACATGACATCATCTTGGACAAAAATAGCAAAAAATTGATTATTAGTAAATAGTATGCCCTGCCTCCTCCTTTAAAAAAATAAAGGACGAGAAACTCGCCATTTTTTGTAAGTTGGCCTAATGAAGGAGGTTTTTTGTGTGAAATCCAAATTAAAACACGTTAATTCTGCAAATGCTCATCAATATTTAACTCGGTTTTCAGTCTAAAAATTAAATTCCCCCTCTCTTTTACAGGAAAATGTACAGAGAGACTTGTCGCAGTACCAAATGCTTGCCTCCTCTGAGTATGTGCTTGAAACAAGAATTTCCTGGAGAAAACAGACCGTCACAAGAGAAGGTAAGCATATACAGTCAAACCTGCTTTAGTGACCATCTGTCTATAAAGACCACATTTTTTGTCTCCCTTGAAAATGGTTTCTCATTGAAACATGTACTAAAGGAACCTGTGGGGATGCAAAGGGGTGGCTATGCATCAAAATGTCTAGTAACAAGTTGCTGTAGAGTTCATTAAGTGTATTTTAACTTCCAATTTGTATCTCTTTTTAGAATTAACATTTGAAGCTTATGTAGAAAGTGGTTAGGGGGGGTCAATACATGAAAAGGAATGGCAAGCAATATTTAATAATGCTATTATATTTGTTTTTCTTACATATTTTGTCAATATTTATTGAAATGTTTATAATTCTGTTTCAGGAATTGAGAAGGAGGGCTTCCTGTCAAGAGATCATGGGGTGCCTTGAGGTTCCAGCCTTGAATTTCTGCTCTTTACCTCTAAGCGATGGCCTCTTGTAGGAGCAAAGCACAATGGACTGGTAATTCATAATAAATATTACATGTTATTAAACCAATCTGGGAAAGAAATAGGGATAAATTCATAGGATTCGAGTCTGTCATAGCATTTTGAGTGACCTGACATTTGCCCCTGCACCGACTGTTCCAGGCTTTATTTCGTCAAAGGTGTAGGGTTCGGTCGAGGGCTGCAATTGGGATTGAGGTGGTTTAGGGTTAGGTTTTGGTCTAGTGTTGGGTCCAGGGATACTGTTAAATATTTTGTTTAATAGTGTAGGAAATTGACGTGGAGCTGTGGTCACTGGATGAAGTGTCACCCAACACAATTTTGCAGGTGCTGGTGAAGCTGCATGTATGTTGCTCATCATCTGTATTGTGATAGCAGCTTAAACATGATGAAGAGTGGAAAGGAAAATAGTATATAAGACTTCTTTCCTCATTTACAATAGCTTTAGTAAAGTAAAAATACACTGACCTGCAGTTTGTGAAACATGTATTGTAGCACTGTATTACCAATTAAAAGAAGTAAGCGATTTTTACGACATTGGCAATTGTTTACTGGTTATGCTGTAACACAAAATTAATTCTTAACCTTAATCCTGGATCTATTGCAAAACATAAATGTATTAAATTTAGGTAACCTTAAATCCCTTTCTACATACTGGTATTGTTCAAAGTTGATATTTTATAATTACTTCCAAGTTCTAAAATTTCTGCAAAAACATACCCTGCTTATCACTTTATAATTATTATTTTACACTGCTTTCATGAACATGCCATAAAAGTGAACTCATTGTATGTCTCTGTACAAACAGGTGCCTGTACATGTTATGCAGAAGCTCATGATGATATGGTAGACAAGACAAGGACCTTGCTGTCTAAAGCTCAGAGACCAGATGACAGTGTCTGAAGTAAGTTGCCCAATAGAAGAGCAGAATATATTGTGTAAGTGGGACGGGTTGTAAGTTGCAATTGTCAATGAACCCATCCATGCTACCTGCCACCCATCCCACTTTCACAATATATTCTCTAGACAACAGTAAACTACAATCAACATTTGGTTTTTTCATACTCCTATATAGAAATGTTTTGTTGTTGATTTTTTAGAATTAAAATCATTAATTAGTTTTTTTATTTTTTTTAAAATTATTTATTAACTATTATTATTATTATTATTATTATTATTATTATTATTATTATTGTTATTATTTTTATTTTATTTATTTTATTTATTTATTTACTTATTTTTTTTTTTTTTTTTTTTGGGGGGGGGGGGGGGGGGGAGGGCATTCGGCCTAGCAATACAAGGCCTAATTATCGCATATGGCTATATCCTGGAGGTAGTCGCCCCAGAAGTGTGATAAATAACAACTATGTTTGTTTACAAAAAAAGCACGAAAAATAGGAATGTATTCCTGTCGAGCCAACAGTATGTTAGTGTAAATTTATAGAGCGCACACACCATCAGGGACGGTCATGGCACTAGCTTAGCAACAGTTCTCTTTAAAGGTAATACAAAGTTTTGGTAAATTCTGAAATTGGGTGGATAGTGAATCTTTACAATTTTGATATATTTGGATGCCCCTGTGGATGTATTATAAGTACTAAAAAAATTAGCCCCTAAAACACTTCTGTTTTTGAGAAAAATTGAATATAAAAATTTACCAGTGCTTCCGGTAAATTTTGATAAATTTCAAATAGCGCCTATGGCCGTACAATGGTAGCTGCGACCATGAAAATCTCAGAATATGTAGTTGGGATATATAATTTCCAAACGGGAATAGCTAATCGGTCGATTTTAGTCAAGAAACATTGTTTCATAGCTAAATAATATCTTGACCTTGAGAGGGAGCTATACAACATAAAGAGTTTATTATTTATAATTTCATAACTTTAGACTCTATTTCAACCGAGACAACGGTCAATGTATATTGTAGGAACGCATATGCTTCTAATATGTTAATTTTAACCAAATTCATGACCCCATACCAAAACTTTGTAATACCTTTAATACAAGTAAAGTAAATGTTCATTTGATAATCAGTTATACCATCAGAAAGTCAAAACAATTTTGCTACATTATAAAGAACTAATAGCCTTTTGAAGATTACTAGAAGAAGTAGAAGAAAAAAAGTAGAAGAAAAAAAGGAGAAGAAATACACTGATGATGTCAGCTTTACATCTTAAAGTGCTTGTACAATATTTGAAAATTTATATTTTTTTTCTTCAACTAATCTTTTGTTCATGAACAGCCAGCTTGTCAGAATTGGTTACAAAGATGCAAGTGGACTTGTCTTCAGAAGTAGCTAAAGAGGAGCAGTCAGCCGAAGGAGCACGCAACTCCAAAACAATGTGGATACTGGATACTTCTCTCAAGTTCATCTGTAATCAGACATGGCTCTTCAGGAATCAAGATGAGACAGTGGAGGTAGAGGAGTTTGTGACCCTCCTGACTGTGGACTACTTGCATTATACATGTAGCACTACTGCACAAAACTCGACCAGTTATGCTTGAGCAAATCGTAACAAACACTTGTTGAAGCATTGATTTATGTAACTGGTATTATAGCCATATAGGTAGAGTTAAGCTTCTAAATTTGATAAGAAACTTTGTCCCAAAAGAACCGCAAGCTGCGATCCCCCCCCCCCCCCCCCCCCCCCTGCTCTTACCCTTCGAGCAAGTGATCAAATGAATTAAAATCCAAACTTGATTAATAATGAATTGATCTGTTAAATATTGTCATCATTTCAGTATAGTTCTTTGTGTGGAGATCAGTGAATGGATATTTTCATGTACAATGCAAGTGAGGTGGCTATCTTCATTGGAATTTAGGATGTGAATTCCAATAAAGATGGCTTGTTTTCAAGGAGCGAAGTAAGATGGATTGCTGTGAACTTAAAGACATATAGGGAATGGTTCACTGTATTGTCGGATTGAGGTTTGGATGGCATGGATGTTGAATAATGTGAAATTAGTGAAAAGAATGACAGAATATACTAAATTTGTACACCAGCCTATGGGAAATAAAAAAAATTGCTTTATTTGAACACTTTTGTACACAGGTCTATGGAAAAACATAGCAATAACAACACTTACCGCACCTCATGGAGCTGCGGTAACTGTTACCGTTGGTATGACCACTTACCGCTGCTTTTTTCAGCGGTAAAGTTTTATGAAATGGAAAGTTACCGCTGCTTCCAAATTTACCGCTGAAACTGGAATTTACCGCTGAAAATGGGACTTACCGCTGCGGTAAATGCTTTATGAAACGGGCCCCTGGTCTTTACCTTTAATAACCAATCTCGTATTATCATAATTTCAATGAAGAAACCCACAAATACAAGCCTTCTTCTCGATTCCAATGCTGCATCTTTTTCAAAAAATACTGTAGTAAAATTAGTAGTAAAATTGTAGTAAAACATTAATATGGACCAATTGGCATATTTTTTTTTTAAAAGAATTTTAGTACTGTATAGCATTTGTACTATATAGCACATGCATACGCAGGGATGCCAGTAAAAATTGATCAGAGGGCCTGAAAATCACCTAGAATGAGCTATTTTGTACTCAAAAAAGCCTAAACTTTGGTCTGTAAATAACTTGCCAGGGCCTGAATTCAAGCTATTGCCTGAAAACTGGCATCCCTGTATACTGCCCTTTTTCTGTTCCATGCTCGATATGTTGGTATTGGTGTTATATAGTACATTCAATTCAATTCAATTCATAGTTATTTCATTTGTAAGTACTGTGGGTATGCTTAGTTTGTAGAAATAACATCAGTAGCTGGAGAACTGACAACAGCTGGAAGATAACAGTAGAATTACATAAACACACAAATAACATAAATTTTATTCTTCAATTTTATAATGCAAATCTCTTGAACTTCCATCCCCAGTTGGACCTAGTCTGCAAGAACAGACCCAATATTGTTCATTTTATTACAATAATTACTGTGTATGGAGTGAAGGCTATATAGTCCAGTTCCAACTAGTTGTGTCAATAGGTATGTCCTCATCAGCTCGAGATTGCCAAATAGCCCGCTATTTCTGATTTGGGAAATAAGCCTGAAGTTACAAATCGCGTCTTCATCAGCTTGAGACTCGACCTTGAAACTCAAGAAATTCATCAGCTCGAGATTGCCAAATAGCCCGCTATTTCTGATTTGGGAAATAAGCCTGAAGTTACAGATCGCATCTTCATCAGCTCGAGACTCAACCTTGAAACTCAAGAAATTAGCTCAAGATATTTTGCTCAGCATTTAGTGCATAGGGCGAGTCTTCGGGCTGGCGAAAACGCACCAGACAAATAGCTGGATATTTTGCCAAATAGTGGGATATTTTGAAAATTAGTCCAAGATATATTGGGATAATTGTCTCCACCAAACATCCCGCTAATTGCAACTGCGGGCTGATGAAGATGCAAATTAGCTGGATAATTTGCGATCGGGATAGTAAAACTAGCGGGTTATTTGGCAATATCGAGCTGATGGAGACAGGCCTAATGATTATAGTCAGGAGGAGCTACAGTACATGGTCTATTGAGTTTAGTCTCCAATCTCAGACCCTGCGTTGCGCATTATAACAGGCTTTGTACCTGCAAACTATTAAAAATAAAGGTGAGTTCTGGTAATGCGATTGCATTGTGAAAGAAAAGGTGTGGAATGGATCAGAAAATTTGATCATATAGCATGTAAGTAATGGAGTGTAATGCAAGGTTCTGGAGTCGTCAAAATCATCATAAATTTGGCACAGTCTTGGTAAAGTAACAATCACTGTACACAGAATATGGGACAACACAAATGGTGTCGGAGCTAGTACTGCCTTGATTTCCTTATCTTTCTATGCTCATTAGTGAGCCAGTATATACTTTCTTCCAAAATTGTTTGTGCACATGACATTTATTTGTAATCTTGAACATTCAATGTAAGTTTCGTTAGATTCTGTGAGAATTCTTTTTTCTTTTTTTTTTACCAGAACTCAAGTTTATCTTTAAGTTGGGTCTAGCTGACTTAGACTAGGGATGATCTAATGTCCAAATCATTCACTGATCATTGATTGATAGATGGAAGACGCTCTAAGCCAAGGCATTGCTAAGGATACCCCGAGGTCACGACGAGGTCACCAAGGATGTCCCTAATGTCAGAGTGACTTAGAACTTCTAAGAAATCCAACGTGTTCACATTCAGCTTTGTTGAACATTTCAAGGAACGTTGAAGCTCATTTTGACAATCTATATGAACCCCAAGCAAGTCATTGCATGTATGTTAAATGCAATGACTAGTTTGGGGGTCATTTAGACAGTCAAAATGTCAGTGTGACTTAAAACTTCAAAAAATCCTACCTATGTGTACAGTCATTCAACTCTAAAGAACATTCTTACAGACGTTTGGATATTCACTTTGAAGATGTGTGAGTATGGAGAGGGGAGGGGGCGTTGCTTATATCCTCCCGTTCTGATGCCCCCCCCCCCCCCCCCCCCCTCTTGAACGTTTTAAGGAACGTTGGAGCTCATTTTGGTCGCCTAAAAATGTGATTTTGGGGAAGAGGGGTGATTTTGGGGAAGAGGGGTCCTTCTAAAAGGAAAATGTAAGTGTGATTTAGAACTTCAAATAAATCCTACCTATGCTGACACTCCACTTTGATTAACGTTCTTAATGATGTTTTGATGTTCACTTTGGGAGCAAGTCTTGAAATATTGTCATACATGTTTATGTTATAAATTCATGTGAACACAAATAAATGATATGAACACAAGTGACAAAAGATCTTATCCTTCAGGCCCTCGTCAGAGTTAAGAAGAGTCAAAATTACAAATTCCAGGCCCAAAAATATGTTTCATAAAGTTCTATCATATCTGAGAATAATAATCTTAAAGACAGATTCTTTAGCTTAAATATTTTCCTTCCTTCTGTTATCCCTCCTCTCCCACTTTCATTCCCTCTTTTCACTCTCATCTCTCCTAGTCAACTTCTTGATTTAGAGCTCCCCCTCCCCCTCCTCCTCCCCCTCCTCCACCTCATCCTCCCCCTCTCCCCCTACTCCTCCTCCTCCTCCTTCCCCCTCCTCCACCCTCCCCTCCCCTCCCCTCCCCTCCCCTCCCCTCCCCTCCCCTCCCCTCCCCTCCTCCACCTCCTCCTCCCCCTCTCCCCCTACTCCTCCTTCTCCTTCTTTTTCCTCTTCTTCTTCCTCCTCTTCTTGTCCTCTTCTTCTTTTCATTTTCATTCTCATTCTCCTTCTCCTTCTCCTTCTAATTATATTTCTTCTCCTTCCCTTATCCCCTTCTCCTTCTCCTTCTATATATATTTCTTCTTCTCCTTCCCTTAGTCAACTTCTTAATTTTGTTCCTCCTCCTCCTCCTCCTCCTCCTCCTCCTTCTCCTTCTTTTTCCTCTTCTTCTTCCTCCTCTTCTTGTCCTCTTCTTCTTTTCATTTTCATTCTCATTCTCCTTCTCCTTCTCCTTCTAATTATATTTCTTCTCCTTCCCTTATCCCCTTCTCCTTCTCCTTCTAATTATATTTCTTCTTCTCCTTCCCTTAGTCAACTTCTTACTTTTGTTCCTCCTCCTCCTCCTCCTCCTCCTCCCCCTCTCCCCCTACTCCTCCTCCTCCTCCTCCTCCTTTTTTCCCTTCCCCTTATCCCCTTCCCCTTTATTGTCTCCCTTCACCGTCTTCTTCCTCTTGTTTTCTATTTTTATTTTTTGCATTATGGTTTGTATTTATACACCAATACCTTATATGATAAGTGATAGAAATATTATTAAATGTATAAATTAGTAAATGGACGACATGACGGCAGATTGCATTACTCTGTGATTCAAATTCTTCCATAATCTCTATTAAACCTAAATCCATATTCCCAAAAACTTGATGCAGTAAACACAACCCTCACCATCTAGCCATACGGCTTCTTCCAACAAAACTCAGTTTGATAAATGAAAAATGACAATTAAATGGAAAACAATCTCTGTGCTCAACAATCTAATGCATTATGCTAATATCCCAAGAGAATTCATATTTCTCTTTCTCCGAAAATCAACCAGTGTCCTGCAATTTTCGATCTCCCTACATCCCAATGCACAAAGGACATAATCTAGTATAAAAAAGAAATGCTACATACATGTACACATATATGCACTGCTGAATTCAATTTTTCATTTTGTTTCATAATATTGAATCATCGTTACAAATTATTCTGTCATGAGTAGTCTGGTTTCAAAGCAGAATGATTTTTTACCCTTTCTCTACCACAATGAGTAGTGGGTAAAACAAAATACTTTAGCTTGCATGAAAATATTAATAGCATTCCTGAATTTGGCGAGTGGTTCAAATTTATGAAGGTTTGAAATAATTTAAGCGTGAATGAAACATCGCAAAATGTTTGCATTTAGCAGAAGTTCATTGCCGTGAAAATGACCGTCCTGAACACGTCGTGAAAGAGTCAGGCTTTACAGCAATGAGAATAAGATCATGACACATGAATGCTTCTCAATATAAAATCATTCACATAATATCAAAGAAGATACTTCTGTGCTATTTGATTCAAACGCAACATCCCTATGGAGATATGGAGTTATCAAATTCAAAACCATTGATCAGTACGGCCAGTGGTGCTTGATTTCCATAAAGAGATGTTAAAGTAAATGA